TTTTTGTTTTTGTTTTTGTTTTTTAAAGTCATTGGATCAAGACCTTTTTAACTTTTTTTAATAAAGCACCTTTAGTACTGATAAGGGAAGCTGCAAAGGGTTACAAGTCAACACTCACTTGGGTGGTGCTCTTCTGTGCAGTACTTGTGAACAAAACACAAGTTGGGGACATGGGCCAGGAGGGTGTGACGTACTGAGTGTCATCTGCTTTGACCCTGGGAGGGGTGCTTTAGGACCTTTCACTTCCAGACCCTTGGGAGCAGCTGTGCACACAGTGTGCCCAATGGGAGTCTTAAGAGCCCGCAGTCAGCCACACTAGATGTCTGTTCTTCCTACCCAAATCCCATTCCAGCCACCATCATACCCTTCCAGTCAATGGCAACTCCATCCATCCAGTTGTTCAAGCCACAGCCCTGGGGTCCTACTTGAAACTTTACTCCGCTGCTCTCTTATGCCAGACTGAGTTGATCAAGAAATTCTGTTGGTTCTGACTTCAAAATATGACCTAGAAGGTCTCCACTTCTCCCCAGATCTGTGACGTCACACCAGCCAGCAACACCTTTGTGCCTGTCTCCTTCTATGCTTCCCCCCTTGCCTGTGTGCAAACTGTTCCCACCAGTGTTCATGCTGGGAAGTGAACCTAGGGCCTTGCATCTGCCAGGCCAGTGCTCTATCCCTAAGCTACCTCCCCAGCCCCAAGGGATCTTTCCAACAACTCATGACTCAAAGTCTGCCCACAGCTTCCCATTCTACACGGCTCAGGTCATTGCCGCACTACAGCCCCACCCAGTCCAGACCTCCTGCTCTTCCGGCCCATCTGAGGATCACTCTGCTCTGGCCTCACCCATCTCCTAGCTTTTCCTCCAGTGCATCGGGCAGATTCTTACTTCAAGGCCTGTCCACAGGTTGCTTCTCCTGCCTGAACCCCATGTCACTCAACCCAGCACCTTCCTCCATGTTTCCTTGGCAAGGTTCTACCAACTACCCAACACACATGCAAAAGCTTTCCCCACATATACTCTCTAGATTGATTCCTGTTTTGATTTCCAGAGTTCTTCTACGCTATCTATTACTGATAAAACTTAACATGTAAGTTCCTTGAAGTTAGGATTTTGCTTACTGATGTAGCCCCCCATTGCCTAGAATGGACACACAGTGAATGCATGGTGAGTGACCTAGGCCTAACTCTGTCCTCTAGGAGAGAGTGATGATCCTACTTGTGTCTATTGTTTCATTCCAGATACCCACCCAGGCCCTTGACGTCATGAGTTGCTTAACATGTGGGCCAGATCATTTGTCATGGAGCCAAAGCCAGTCCCTTCTTTTCACATATTGTTGGAGTGAAGAAAGAAACAGTGTCAGGAGCTGTATGGTGACAGGAAGTTTCCACTTGGGCCACACAGCCTGAATTCCTCTAAGCAGCCTCAAACAAGACTTCTACTAGAAGTTTTGTGTGTATACACAGCCTGCCTGGGAGAACCGATATCATCAACCCCAGACAACCAAACAACAATCTCACACCGACAGTGTGGTGGATTGACAACTGGGAGTCGACTTGTTATACACGGCTGAGCTGAGTCAGCGTGGTGCTGGGTGTGGGAGGCCCACCTGAGGGTTGTTGCCAACAGCACAGAAAGAGAACTGGAGGGGGAGGTGGTATGCGGTGGGGTCTCCTGGAGGGGCTTGTCAAGCTGGTTTTCCTAATATGAACTCAGCTGTTCTTACCATCGGAGGAGCTCAGGACCTCACTGTTGCTGAGGATGGCTATGGTACTCTGCAGAACAGCTCCTTACCTTGAGCCTTGCTTCCTGGCTCCAGTGCAGATCCCTCAGCCTCCTGGCACAGATCCTTCATCCTGCTAGCTCAGGCTTTCTAGCTTCCACCACTGACCTTTGGGGCTTCCCAGTGCAGATCCTTGACACAAACTTGCATGGACATCATCCTGGGCTCTAGGAGCTGGACTCATGGAGGACATTTCTGTGGGCTTTAGCTCTTCAGCTGAACTCACGCAGGACATTGCCAAGGGACCCTGGCCCTCGACTGGATTCTTTGGGTCTTTAGTAGGTGGACAGATTTCCTGCACTGTCTTTGTATTTGATTCTTTGGGTGACTCATAAAATAATCTTATAAATGATGTGTCCTGTATTAAATTGATTCCCTTGAAAACCCTGACTACAACAGACACGGGGAGACATCCTGGAGAAAAGGCACAAAAGAAAAAAGTGTTACTCCTAAGTCTGAATGGCAGGGAATCTAAAAATAACTTGCCATGTTCAAAGAGGAGGTGCTCACCATATATTCAAAATTAAAAAATGAATACACCCGTTGGGGGACAGAGGAGGGGAGAGCTATGATGCCTCCTTCTATTAATATCCTGGCTTCTTTCCTGAGAACACAGAGTTCTTCCAAGAGGATGGCCCTGTCTTGCTTCTGTTTTCCAAAAATGATTGTTACTGAATTTAGCCATAAGGTGTGATCCTGTGCTCACGATTTTTTAGCCTAGCACTCCTGATGATCAAAGACACCTTTCCCACTGAGGGTGAAGATGACAGTGATTGGCTACAAAGCACCTACTATGTGCCAGGAACTTTATACTTCACTTCTCACACACAGGGCCATCTCACTACCTCTGTTTCTCAGATGGGGAGACTGAAGCTTAAGTGAGTTGCTCAAGGTCACCCAGGTAGGTAAGATTTGAACTCAGAACTGGTTGGCCCCGCAGACTGCTCCTTCCACCACGGGGTAATGGCTTTGGCCTCCAGTGTTGACAGAGGGATAAGAACTGTTCATGGCTATTTGTTATTAATTATCTTGATTGGGAAGCTCTTGACCAACAAAACACAAAATATACAACTTGTGCACACTGAGATGTCTCCTTCCATCAGGGAAATGGCACTGGAAAAGAGGGGACAAAGCATGGGACAGGGTGCAATGATGAAGCAAAATGATATATTCAGACCAAAGAAGTAAACCGTGAGCCAGCTGCAAAGGATCTCCGTCAGCACCAGTGCCTTACCACGGATGGCACGGAACTTTATCTGTAAGGTGAGGGTATCTCTTCATGTTCCCTTATGATGCTTTTGTAACCTGAAGAACCTCTCTCAAGTTAAGTCCTAGAATTCTTGACCTACCTACTAGGGCCTCCCCTCTGTTAGTAAGAGAAAATGCAGGCAAATTGGCTTTTAAGAAAAAAGAGAGCTTTCTTTTTTCTTTTTCTTTTTTCAATATTGGGGAATAAACCCAGGGCCTTTTCATTAAATTGCATCCTGACCTTTACTACACTTAATCTTAACCAAAAGGCTCATCTTAGTCCTTAAAAAAATAAATTGGGGGGGGGGTTGAGGAGATAGCTCAGCAGTGTAAGCACCTGCCTGACAAGCACAACGACCCAAGTTTAGTCTCTGGTACCGGACGAGACCCTGTATCCAATAAATACATTCAAACAAACAATATATATTTTTTAAAGTTTGAGAGCATCTTACTAAGTCACCAAGTTGTCCAGCCTGGGCTTGAACTTGTAGCTCTCCTGCCTCAGCCTCCCGGAGTGCTGGGATTATAGATGTGCACCACCCTCCTTGGTTGCTTTATTTTTATGTGGCGTGACAGCATTTGAGAGTTGGTAAATTCAGCAGCGCTGTGTCATTCGCAGGACACGTGGCCCTTAGCTTTCCGTGTTGATCTCAATGTCCCTGAACACTGGCTTGTCTTTCCGGGGCAGGCTGCAGTCCGGGCACCCCAGACACGCTGAACTCGCAGATGATGACTCTGACCTTAAGAGATGGAAATGGAATCTTTTGTCTTGGGAAAAATAAAACTTCCAGGATTCCAAGCCCAGCGTGGAAGGATAGGGCCTCCTGGGAACACAGACTTCTGCCTGAGACAGAACAAGACAGCAAAGTCCAGTGGCTCAAGCACATTACAAGCCTCTGCTTCTGTCGCATGTGTTAACGTGTCCAATACTGCCCAAAGAAAATTCTACGCCACAACCCACATACCAGAAGCAGGAGGACACTGTTCCATGGCGGGCTGGGACAGGACACAGAGTCTATCGTATTACTACAGGCGACAAGGAATCGGGCTGGAGAATTCAGACCACCACCTGTGGCTGTATTATGCAAAAAACTCAGGCGACTGAATCTTGTAGGTTCGAAATCATTGAATTCTGGCTATCTGTAGGATTCCAAGTAATATCATGAGTTTAGGTAGAATTGAATGAGGCCTGTTGTTCGCCAAGTATTGGAACTGTCTGCAAAGCAGGTGCTGTCCCATAAAAAGCAGATTTCTCAGCACACAGGAAGCGAAAAACATGTAATTGTCTCTAAAATAGCAGTTTTGTTCTCCTTAAATAGAGCTGTGCTCCATTGGAATCAAGCACTTACGTGAAAAGAAGCCTCTAAGCTGAATCCCAATAATATTTTTCCCTAGAGAGTTAAAGGTATTGTAATCCCATCTGATGACTCTTACTTTTGAATGGAGCCTTAATTACATTTCAGGCTTTGTCATAATTATGCCTTCTGAAGAGTGTCCAGTGCAGTAGAGTCGCACTAACAGCTCACCAAGAGCTCCCTGTTCGTGATCTCTACATCCCTTTCCTGCCCCACGGACTTGATTTCTCCCCTTCACCCTTTCTTCATGCCCATGTCACCTACTCAACCTCTAATAATCCATTCCACCCCAGTTCCCACCTCTGGCAGCCTGGCTACCTGTTCTTCTCTTCCATGATACTCAATACACACCAATCACGTAGGGCTTGACATTCTGTAGCAAAAATAAGTAACCGTGACTCCATCTCTTCTTTATTGTGAGCTCCTTGAGTTCAGCGGCTGTTTCCTCTATCGTCATGTCTCTAGTATTCATCATGGTGCTCAGAAAACAGCAGGGACTAAGAAATATTTAACAGAGGTAGGGGAGTGTGTTAGTTGGTATAGGCTAAGTGCAAGCTCAGTGTGTTTTCTGCTCTTGCAAAATATGAATCATGGGTTCCTGACTGAGTAGCTTACATCAAAATGTAACTCAGAAATCCAGTCTTCTTCTACCTTGTAGCACTGCTGTCTTCAAGATGCTGCCTCTATGGACACTGAAAACAAGGAACAGGTCACGGGGAAAGTCACACTGGATACTGAACAACTCGGCCCAGAAGTGACCGTTCCATTCTCCTAGAGCAGTCAGATGGCCCCATGTAGGCACAGGAAGCCTGGCAGGGCAACAGCTCTGCACCATAGAAGGAGAGCTTGCCTGTCATGGTCACGTTCTTGTCCCTGGAACATAACACTCGATGCCCACAGCTCTTATAGGACACAAAGTTCACTTTGGCTCATGGTTTTTAGAGGATTTGGCCCATACTTGGCTGGCTCCAAGGCAGGGATGGAGTGGTGGAAGGGTCTGGCAGAGGAAAGCTGCTCCCATTATGGTGGACAGGAGTCAGAGAGCAAAAAGAGATGCCAGAGAGGACACCACAGCCTCCAGGTCACTCCCTGGTGACCCGCCTCTCACAGACCCTGCCTCTAAACAGTGCACACAGAGGTTGATTCACAAATAGGTACAGAATCCCTGTGCTATACCTATTTGGTGGCCTTCCAAATGCCCTGCCTCTGAGTGCTTCAGAGTTTGGGGGGACATTGTAGTTCTAAACCATAACAGTGAATCTGTAGCAGCCAGCTAGCTGTCTCAGCCACAAGGAGTAGAGGGAAGAAAAGAAGAGGGAGAAATGATGTTTTCAATGCCTTAAGGTTACCATGTAAGCTGTGAGTAAAGATTTCCGAGCACGGCACTCAGTGATACCAGGCACACTCACATATTTTACAGCCGACATGCCTTTCCAGCTCCAGAGCTGCCCAACCTTCCTCCCTGGAAGCTGACACCCAGCAATCACTAACTTCCCACTCCTCCCTCCTGTAGTGCCCGGCAGCCTCCAGAGGACTTGCTGGCTCTATGATGTGACTCTCCTAAGTATTTCATGGGAGGAACCAGAGTCTCTGTCTTTTGCTCTGGCACATCCCATTCACAGTGTTTTCAGAGTTTATCCATGTTGTAACACGTTACGTTATTCTCTTCCTTTTTAAGGTAGAACAAAATTCCATCGTGTGTACATGCGACACTTTCTCCACTCATCAATGGACAAAAGAAGAGGGTATGTTAGTCAGGATAGGCAAAATGCAAGCCCAGAGAAGAAAAGGCCCAAGATATTTCTTTCTTGTATAAAGTATGAATCAGGACTGTCTTCTGCTAACTGCAAATAATGCTGCCACAAACATGGATATCTACATATATACTGGGCTTTAATCTTTTTTTTTTTTTTTTAATGTATTTGGCACAGAGTCTCACTACACAGCTCAGACTCATAGTGATCCTCCTGTTTTCAGCTTCCCCAGTTCTGGGATTACAGCCGTGCACCACCAGGCCCAGACTGCGGCTCAGGGTGCCTGGGGGCGGGGCTGGTGTTGCATGTAGTGCCGAGGGAACTCCAGCCCCTGCACTTGCCTAAGCAGGTGCTTAGCCTGCTGAGTTATCTTACCCACTCTACCTGGCTCTAATCTGAACAATTCATTTGAAGATAGCATCATGTAATACAACAACCATTGTTGAATTCCTATTACTTTGTTTAATGAAATCCTGTATCCTTCCTAATGCTGTTTTTTCTATCACTAATCTA